GATGCAGAAAATGCTTTTGATAAAATTGAGCACCCCCTTTTGATACAAAAACATCTAGGCATAGATGGAACATACCTCAAAACAGTAAGAACCATCTACGAGAAACCCATAGCCAGCATACTGCTAAACAGACAGAAATTGGAACCATTTCCCCTGAAAACTGGAACAAGACAAGGATGCCCACTCTCACCCCTCTTGTTCAACATAGTTTTGGAAGTCCTAGTTAGAGTAATCAGAGAAGAGAAGGCGATCTGGGGTATCCAAATAGAAAAATAGGAAGTCAAATTATCCCTCTTTGCAGATAACATGATTCTATACCTTGAAAATCCAGGAGAATCTGTCAAAAATCTCCTTGCACTGAAAAAGGACTTTGGCAAAGTCTCAGGTTATAAAATAAAGTGCGAAAGACAACTGCATTTCTATACACCAATAATAAGCAAACAGAAACCCAAATAAAAAGCACAATTCCATTCACAGTAGCCACAAAAAAAAAAAAGAAAGAAATACCTTGGCATCTTCCTAACCAGAGATGTAAAAGACCTTCACAATGAAAACTACAAAACAATGCTCAAAGAATCAAAGATGACACAAACAAGTAGAAAAATAGTCCATCCTCATGGATTGGAAGAGTCAACATTGTTAAGATGTCCATTCTACCTAAGGCAATCTACAGATTTAATGCAATACTCATCAAATTACCAGTAACATTATTCTCAGACCTAGAAACAACAATATAGGAATTCATATGGAAACATAAATGGCCAAGAATAGCCAAAACAATCCTCAGGAAAAAAAAAGAAAGAGAGCAGAAGGCATCACACTCCCAGCCTTTAAACTTTATTATAAAGCTACAATAATCAAAACAGCCTGGTATTGGTACAAGAACAGGCATATAGACCAATGAAATAGAATTGAAATTTCAGAAGCAAAACCTCAATTTCTCAATCAACTCATCTTCAACAAAGCCTACACCACCAACCACTGGGGAGACGAGAATCTATTCAGTAAATGGTGCTGGAAAAACTGGCTGACCACATGCAAAAGATTGAATCAGGACCCCTACCTATCCCCATACACAAAAATTAACTCTAAATGGATCACAGACCTAAACGTAAAACCTCAAACTGTAAGAACCTTAGAAAACGAAGGAGACACTCTTATGGAAGTTGAAACTGGCAACCAATTCCTGATCAAAACCTGAAGTGCTCAGGCCATAAGAGATAAGATAGACAAGTGGGACCTCATTAAACTGACAAGTTTCTGCAAAGCCAAAGAAACCATCAAGAGAGCAGAGAAACAGCCCACAGACTGGGAAAAAATATTTGCCAACTCCATGTCTGATAAAGGCCTAACATCTAGGATCAACAAGGAACTCAAGCATGCTGAAAAGAAGAAAACAGACAGCCCCATTACAAAGTGGGCAAAAGACATGAATACACAGTTCTCAAAAGAAGACATGTGAGCAGCCAACAGATACATGAAAAAATGTTCAGCCTCACTAGTCATCAAGGAGATGCAAATTAAAACTACACTGAGATACCACCTAACTCCCGTCAGAATGGCCATCATCAATAACTCAAAAAATAACAGATGCTGGAGAGGATGTGGCGAAAAGGGAACACGTCTACACTGTTGATGGGAGTGCAAACTAGTACAGCCTCTGTGGAAACAGTATGGCAATTCCTAAAAGTTTTAAAAATCGACCTTCCATAGGACCCTGCAATCAATCCCCCTACTGGGAATATATCCGGAAGAACGTAAATCACTCTATAAAAAAGATACCTGAACCCGTATGTTTATCGCAGCATTGTTCACAATATCAAGAACATGGAACCAAATGTGCTGCCCATCAAAAGAGGACTAGATTAAAAAAAAATGTGGTACATATTCACAAAGGAATATTATTCAGCCATAAAGAAGAACAAAATTATGAACTTCGCAGCAACTTGGATGGAATTAGAGTCTGTAATACTGAGTGATCTTTTACAGAAATAAAGAACAGAGTATCATATGTTCTCACTCATAAATGGACCTTGAACAACTACTGCAATACTATAAGAAAAGGATTGACAGTAGCAGGAAACTATGGAGGGAAGGAGAGATGGGGAAGTGGGATTGACAGTAGTGAAAATCTGCCTGGGGAAGGTCGGGTACACTTCATCAACAAGGGTACCTGCACAGTGAATACCTAACCCTGAAATGTATCCCACAATTTTAAAATAAAAAAATTTTTTAAATTAAAAAAAAATAATTAATTAGTCAAAATCCTTTTCTCATGAAACCTTATTATAATGCAAATTATCTAGATGCTGTAATATATTTATAGAAGATAAAAGAAAAATATTTTATTTCATCTAAATACTTGATCACATTGGGCTTACTTATTACTGAATAGCAATATGTTAAAATGTAATGAGGTTGGGCTTGGTAGCTCAGCCTGTAATCCCAGTACTTTGGGAGACTGAGGTGAGTGGATTGCCTGAGCTCATGGGTTCGAGACCAGCCCTGGTAACTTGGCGAGACCTCATCTCCACAATAAACCAAAAATTAGCTGGGCATGGTAGTATGCACCTGTAGTTTCAGCTACTTGGAAGGCTGTGGTGGAAGGATTACCGGAGCCCAGCAGTTCGATGCTGGAATGGCTATGAGCATGCCACTGCACTCCAGCCTGGGTGACACAGTGAGACTCCAACTCAAAAAAAGAAAAAAAAATGTAATGAATAAAGTTCAATGTGTCTACAAAGTGGCACTAAAATAGAAGAACCTATTTCAAATTGAAGTTGTACTGATATTATTACATTAATAAAGTAGCTATGCAAAAAAGTTATAGTAGTTTAGAAAATAATTTGGGTGGACAGAAGTTAATGTGGAGTTTAGAAAAAAATTTATTAATTGAAATACAGTTTCAAACTCTGAAAACAAAGAATGCTTTACTAAGTAAAGTCATGAAAGAATAAGGGCAGAGAGACTAAATTTATACTGAATCTGTGTTTCCTTTCTTTAAAACTGTAATTTTATTTTTCTACAAAAATAATTTGCTTAGGCTTAAGGGGAACCAAAACCTGGAATTCTGATTTAATAGTCAAGCAACCCATACTTCTCAGGCTCAATATAAGTTTAGATTTTCAACTCTCTTAGTACATTAATCAGATCAAAAATAATATCATATGCTAGAAAAATTTAAACCATGTAAAAGAATAAAGTTTTCCAAGTAAAGTAGTTAGCTGGAAAATTTTCTCCTTCATTCAGAGGAACAATATTACATCTTGTATGTTCAGAAATGTATATTAAATCAATATCATTAAAAGAATAATTATTCATGTTTAAGTATATAATAGACATATCTCAAGTACTCTATTTTTGAAAACGTTAACATTAACTGATTGCAGACTATGCCAGAACTTACTTTTTAGCCACAAAAAAAGAACACAGGTTAGCAAAAGATACTCAGGATTTTGAAAATAAAAGGGAGACACCTCAAGGATCTAAGTAATTGAAAAGTTTTACTGAGCACAGGTCCAGGTATTTAAACAGTGGTAGGTAATACAGGGTCTGTGGTGAAGATGCTTATATTTTCAATGATAAAACAAGATTCACAGAATATTATAGGGTACTACAAAGTGATTGAGTGCTAGCAATGCACAAAAGAAGGCAACATTGGCCTGAACTATATATAATAGTTAGAGAAGTCTGGATGAAGGAGACGAAATTGAATGATGGGGCTCAAGAGATGGTGCCTCAAAATATGGCACCTTGGCATTTGAGAAAAGAGCAGAAGCAGGAAAGTCTTTCTTACCTTCTTTCACCACTTCTCCCTTGAAGTGAGCCACAAAACCTAGTTGACCTTCCCCTAAAAGTAGATTTTAAGACCTTTATTCCAGAGGGGACCTCCTTACACTCAGAAGAAACACAAAGACGCCAAGAAGAATCTGAACAAACAGGCTAAATTCCCTCCAGATCATACCCTTTTGTCTTTGCACGAATGTCCATAAAAATGCAATTTTCCCTGTTTCACTGGGTTTTCATTTCTGAAGGTTCTTATGTCATGTCAAACACTTATTAAATACATTTGTGTGCTTTCTTTCTTGTTAATTTGTCTTTTGTTTTAGGCGTCTTAGCCACAAACCTAGTGATGGGTAAGCAAATAAATCTCTTCTCTGTATGAGTCATAATTTAACTCATTAAATTATGGGTAAGATTCAAATCAGCAACAAGAAGGGTACTATTATAGGACCAACCAGAGGTATGGAAATGAGAATAAACAGTTCGTATGCATTATTCTAGCTATGCATTTTCATACTCTCCCTTAAATGCAAAAACACCTTACCCACAAAAACTGACAGAGGTTGAAGACCTTCAGCACTATATCCATTGTACATTAACAAAAAAAGTAGCACATTTTTCCTATCAGATCCCTTCTAACCTGATAAATTTTCAAGTGATTTTCTGCCTTTAATTTTTCTTTTTTAATCATTTTAAGTTTCTTTTACATATAGAAAGTCTCAATGTTTCACTCTTCTCAAGACTATTTTTGGGTGCCTTAGTATACTGCTATCATCTTTTTATATATAGTTAGGCATCTGACTATTTTGTTCTTTAGAATTCAGTTTCCCTTTACTTTACAAAAAAATTGAGTACTGGAGTATCACTTCATTGCACTTACTGCTATTACCTATGAAGCCCAAAATATTTTGTTGCAATTTTTTCCATGTTTCCTTTGATTGTAGATTATAAAACATCGTATCTGTCTTACTCCCAGAGAAGAGGAAAATGATTGATCTGAATTTAGCTGCAAAAGGTTTTATTTCTATTTTGTGCTAGTAAACTACCATGAACTGCCAAACTCTAACATAAATTAAATAATTTAAAACCAAACTGCTATCCATATAATTACAAATAAGTAATTTCAAGTGACTAATGACTCCAGTGCTTTATCTTCTCATATAATGAGAGAATACCAGGAGTTTTCTTATAAGAAAATGAAAATTTAAAGGATTTACCATTTCCAGTTTTTCTGCCTTAAGGCGAACAGAGGGATTTAGGGAAATCTTCTTTCCTTGTAGCCCATAATTATCAGTCCAGGCAGGAGTAATATCTAAGAGACAACAGGGTGCACATTAATTGGAAATTTAATTGGAATAGAAATTTTCATTTGACAGGATATAGTCTGGGTTCCTGCTGTGCAAAAATAATTCCAACTAATCAGTTGACAGCTTTTACTTCTGTTTTCATGATTGCTTTTTTCTTTAAATCTAAAATTTATCATATAAACCAGATTCACTTGAGTTCTAAAAGATATAATATAAAGAGTAGACTGTTGTACACTGAGAACTTCCACAGAAATATTAACTTAAAAGAGAAACACACATCTCACCACTACCTTCATTACCTTAATACCTTAAAAAGATAAAAAGTCTTGTTCAAAAAAAGTAAAATCATATTAGATATTCAAAAACATTATGGTATTTCTTTGACTGGCAAAAGTAGTTTTGTAATGTGTATTTTGAAAGTACTCTGGAAAATGCAAATCATTCCAAGTTTGCACAGCATGTAAGATATAGATTGTGAACTTTGAGCTAAAAACCTGATTTCTTACTTTAAGGACAGATTATATTTCAAATAGCAAAATGAACTTTCAAGAGTTGTGGATCACACACTTCTCACCAGTTTTGCCACATCTTCTCACTATACCTTGAATATTTACATGCCTTTGTCCTTGTTGCGTGAGTAAGGAACCAGGTGCTACAAAGGACTAGAACATGAAAAATTATTTGTTCTAAACCGCCAAACTTTGTAAAATTAATTCCTGTAATTCATGTTGATCCTTACTATCTAAATTGTCACCATTCTGAATACACTTTTAAATGGTATTTTACTAGTTCTACATAGAAACAAGAGGAAGGAGAGAAAACTTTTTAAAATGTCACATCTTTATGCAGTGTTTTAATTTTTTTCAGTTTCTCAGAGCATCTGTCTCTAAGTACAAAATGATTTGCATTCTCTTAAGAACATAAGAAGTGCATATGAAAATAAATAGTCTTCCTCTAAACCTTTAACACATCCTTAACATTCTATGTAAAAATCTTTAATATAGCTTATAGGTGTCAAGATTTTAAAAATGTGGTTACTGACTTTTAGCTTAAAACTAAATTTGAAGAACTGATTTTGATTTTATAACATAATTTTTATAATTCTGATAAAAGCAAGTAAATCTCCTTTGTTTTCACGATGCCAAATTGGTGGCTATAGGTTAAAATGTGTGTGTGTGTGTGTGTGTGTGTGTGTGTGTGTGTGTGTGTGTCTGTACACATAAATATAGTTTTTTCTTTTCTTTAAAGAGAAATTCTGTGTCACACCTAAAGTATGACATTAAATATCAGCATGGAGTGGAATGGCATGGAAGACAAAATATCAGATAAGCCAAACTTTAATTTTCATTCTTTAAGGTTTGGAGAGGATCTTGACAATGATTTCCAGCTTGGTGCTTGATGTGCAATTAAAGCACACTAACACTAGGTGGACCCAAGCTAATCTCAGACAAAGACTAACTCTAGGCTTGAATTATTCATTTCACCTATAAGTGTGTGGAAGGGTTGCAGAGGGGTGAGAGCAAGGGGAAGAGAGAAGCATGCGAAAAAAGACAGGGACACATATAATATTCACACACACCAAAGCATGTGTTCTCATTTGTTTTCCTACATCAGGGTGTAAAAATTAACTATTTTCACTAACACTGAAAATAATGGAAGATTAACTCTATTAATGCTTCCTTCTAGCAAGACAGTAGCTATTTATGAGAGGGGGACCCAAAAAACAGGAATTACTTCTTGGAGGGTGGGCCCCTTGTAGTACAGGTTTCCCTTGCTAGGAACCCATTGGCGTCAGTGTACCTATTAGCTACCGTTGTGAGCGGCTGCATTCTGCTTTGCTGCAAAGTATTCAGTGAATTTTCTTTTTTGGAGATTCTTTCAACGTGTTTACCCATTTCATGATGGGTGATTTACAAGCACAGCTGCCCACACCACACTGACTGTTCAGCAGTTTTTGACCAAAAACAGCATGACCCTGGTGCCTCGCCCTCCCTGTCCACCCAATTTCGCCCTGAGTGACTGTTTTTTGTTTTTGGTTTCTCTAGATGAGAAAAGTCCTCAAAGAGGAACATTTTGCTGATGTGGAAGAGGTGAAACAAAAAACTGCAGAAGTACTAAAACACATCAAAATTGGTGAGTTTAAAAACTGTTTTGAGCAGTGGAAAAGTATCTGGATAGGTGTATTGCATCAAACAGAGAGTACTTTGAAGGTGACTGAAGTATAAAACACATTTTTAATAAATTCTGTTTGTGGGGGGCATACATATATAATAGTTCTTCACAATATTAATCTTTACCATAACCACAATGACATAGGTGTTATTATTTCCATTCCAAAGATGAAAAGACCAAGACCAGAAAAAGTTAAAAAAAATTAGCCCAAGTTCACATAGCTAGTACATTACAATGTCAGGATTCTGATCTTGTGACTCCAGAAACCACTGTTGGTAAATGCACTAACATTTTTCACCATTAATTTGCTCATCTGTAAAGTACAGATAATAAAATAGACTGCCTCACAGGATTTGTAAACTATTGTGAAAATTATAAAGTATTGTTAATATTAACCCTGAAACACTGCATTAATATAAAATTTAATGTACTAACCCCCATTTAATGCAATTAGGGCTTATGAAAAATGTCTTTTTTTTTCATAGTCAACTTAAACTTCTACTTTTGTGTTAGACTTTTAAGAGGGTTTGTGCATAAATCAAGCATAGATTGTCAATTAAGAGTCGCTTATCTTGGAAAGCCTCTCATAGACCATTTTCCTCATTTGACAATGACATCTCTGTATTCCAGTCGCAAGTTCTTATTTGCTCCTTACTGGGAGAGTGAGACTTTTCAGAGTATGGTTTATTATTCTCTTGGATCTTCTGTTCCTATTCCTCTTTTTAGGAGGAGAAGAAAGGGAATGTTTTATAATGGAAGAATCAGAACCATAGGATTAGCACCATGAACCCCGAATGAATGTTTTCCTCATCACAACTTTGTTTCAGTTTCAAAAGACTTGGTGCAGAGGAATTAAGCCTTGTGCTATTAAAAAGTAATGACAGTATTTCTTCATGCAACAATTATTTACTGACATCCTTAGGAATGTCTCAGATATACTTTTAGCTCACTTACAAACTTATGGCAATGAAAAAAATTGGATTTTGAAATAAATTTGTTAATAGGTTAGTTTTTGAAAACTTTTAAGTGTTATGTGAATTTTAAAAATTCTAACCAACTTTTATACTTTGGAAAGATTTTGAGATGAGAACAGAGGTAGAACTACCTTGTTATGTTTATTTCTGTTGAGGTTAACATTAAAACTTGTTTATATATATTTCTTTAATTAACACAAACTAACTGAAGAAGTCTAGGAGTGATAGTTAATTTGTAATTTGGAACAATATATAATTAAGTACTTATAACAGGCAAATCACAACATACATAAGTCATCTAGAGATATTTTAGAGGTGACTTTGCCTTTCTGTTCAACCCCCAGAAATATCTCGCCTACTTTATGTGGAAGAAAATGGGACTGAGTTAATGCTATTTTTACCCTAGAAAAATGTTCCATTTTAATTGCATTTCAATATTTTCTTTACATATAACTTATTCACTTAAATCTATTTTTCACTAATCTATTTTTCCAACTCAAAATTTAGTTTGATTTTAAAGATGTGGGGTACAATTCAGGATTAGGCATGTAAGTGTTTATCATATAGGTAGTCTGGGCCTCCCATTGATCCTCTCTTCACCCAGTTTGGGATCAGGTACCTTAGTGATGCTATGTGACACTGCCCACCGTCACCTGGCAGTGTCCTGCTACTGACAATCCCTATCTTGTAGTATTATGATAGGTGTTCAGGGTCACTTATGAGTGGGAACATATGGTACTAATTCTTTGTTTCTGTAATAGATCACTGAGTATGATGGATTCTAAATCCATTCCAAGTTACTCTGAAGTCCATACTTTTGTCCTTCCTTATGGCTGCATAATATTCCATTGTGTATATGTACCACATTTTAAAAATCCAGTCCACATTCAATAGGCAGCATGGTTAGTTCCATGTTTTTGCAATTGTGAATAGTGCTGCAATAAACATGTGTGTGCAGGTATCTTTTTTGTAGAATGATTTGAGTTCCTCCCAGAAGGAGAATTGCTGGGTCATAAGGAAGGTCAATTTTTAGATCTTTTAAAATTTGCCACACTGTTTTTCACAGAGGTTGTATTAATTTAACTCTCATCAACAGTATAGAAGCATTCCCTTTTCTCAGCATTCTCTCCAGCATCTGTTGTTTTTTGAGTTATTAATGATGGTCATCCTAACTGAAGTTATGTGATATCTCAGTGTGGTTTTGATTTGCATTTCTTTGATGATTAGTGAGGCTGAACATTTTTTAAATGTATCTGTTGGCTGCTCATATATCTTCTTTTGAGAAGTGTCTAATCATATCTTTTGCCCACTTTTTTTTTTTTTGAGTTGGAGTCTCACTCTGTTGCCCAAGCTGGAGTGCAGTGGCACTCTCACGGCCACTGCAGCCTCAACCTGCTGGGTTCAGGAGATCCTTCCACCTCAGCCTTCCAAACAGCTGAAATTACAGGGACGTGCCACAATGCCCCACTAACTTTTTGATTTATTGTATAGATAAGGTCTCATCATGTTGCCCAGGCTGGTCACAAACCCATGGGTTCAGTCAGGCAATCCTTTCGCCTCTGCCTCCCAAAGTACTGGGATTACAGGTGTGAGCCACTGTGCCTGGCCTTTTGTCTACTTTTTTTTTTTTTGAGTTGAAGTCTCACTCTACTGCCGAGGCTGGAGTACAGTGCCACACTCACGGCCACCTCAGCCTCAATCTGCTTGACTGAGGTGATCTGTCCACCTCAGCCTTCCAAGGCTGAGCATTTTTTAAATGTATCTGTTGGCTGCTCATATATCTTCTTTTGAGAAATGTCTAATCATATCCAAGTAGCTGAAACTATAGGTGTGAGCTACCAAGTCCGGCTTATTTTTTGATTTATTGTAGAGATGAGATTTCACCAAGTTGCCCAGGCTGGTCTTGAACCCCTGGCCTCAGGCAATCCTCTTGCCTCAGCCTCTCAAACTGCTGGGATTACAGGCTTGAACCACCGCACCCAGGCCTTGCCTACTTTTTAAATAGGGTTGTCTGTTTTTTTCTTTTTGGTACATCCTTGTAGATCCTGGATATTAAGCTTTTTTCAGATATACAGTGGCAAATATTTTTCCCCATTCTGTGGGCTGTCTCCCCACTCTCTTGATGATTTCTTTTGCTTTGCAGAAGTTTTTCAGTTTGATGAGGTTCCACTCATCTATCTTATCTTTTGCATTGATAGAAGACTTTGGCAAAGTCTCAGAGTACAAAATCAGTGTGCGAAAGAGAGTCACATTCCTATGCATCAACAACAAACAGGCAGAGAACCAAGTAAAAAGCACAATCTCATTCACAATAGACACACAAAAAATAAAGAAATACCTTGGTATCTTCCTAGCCAGAGATGTGAAAGAACTTCATAGCAAAACTACAAAACACAGCTCAAAGAAATCAAAGAAGCACAACAATGATGATTCTTCCAATCCAATCTACAGATTCAACATAATAACCATTAAATTACCAACATCATTCCTCTCAGACCTTGAAATCACAATACAGAAATTCATATAGAAACATAAACAACCATGAATAGCCCCCCCCAAAAATACTCAGCAAAAGAAAAGCAGGAGGCATCACACTTCCAGGCTTTAAAGTTTATTATAAGTCTACAATAATCAAAACAGCCTGGTATTGGTATAAGAACAGGCACATAGACCAATGGAACAGGATAGAGATTTCAGAAGCAAACCCTCAATTTCTCAACCAACTCATTTCTACAAAGCCTCCACCAACAACCAATGGGAAGAGGAGAACCTATTCAGTAAATGGTGCTGGGAAAACTGGCTGACCACAACAGAAGATTGAAACAGGACCCCTACCCAAACACAAAAATCAACTCTAAATGATCAAAGACCTAAACGTAAAACCTAAAACTATAAGAACCTTAGAAAATGCAGGAGACACTCTTACAGAAATTGGAATGGGCAACAAATACCTGATCAAAATCCCAAAAGTCCATACCATAAGAATATCATTTCTTATAGCCATGGGTATAAATTTACCTTAGTTTATTTATTATTTTGGGATATCTTTGATCTAATCAGACCTGCTTCTTAGAGTCACCTGACATCCAACTCATCCTTAGTTCTCTGCCTTGGCTCGCAGTGCTTTCTTAACTTGGGATAATCTCTTGCCTTCAACCACCAGTGGATGCTTACCACTTCTTTCAAGATTTGCACGTTGAACTTTTGCCAATAAATTTTTCTTAATTTCTACATACTGTGACAGGTCTCTTACGATACACTTGTTTTGGGGGCAAGAGGAAGAACACAAAATTGAATCAAGAGTTAGAAGTTTTTACCTCTGCTCTAAAAACACGCCCTAGAATATTATCTGAGATACACACTAGTCTATAGGGTCTTCATTATGAATAATAATAACAGGAAAATGTACTTAGCATATACCATTTACCAATTACAACGTAAGTGCCTGAACTGCATGATCTCATTCAATCCTCATAAAAACCCCATGAGACAACTATTTCAAGATTACACAGCTAATAAGATGGAAACAAATGTTTCTAGGTCTAAATTTGCATTCAGAGCTGATGGTAACTACTGTGCCTTCCCTATACTAAATATATATTACTCACTCACGATTTCCTTCCTTAGTCCACTTTGTTCATTCTTTACATGATTTGTGTAAATGTGTTATTCATCTATAAGACAGTATGCTTTTTAAAGTAACATAACTAGTCACAGCCTGCTCCAATTAACATGGAACACTGCAAATAGTAACTACTCAATAAAATGAACACACACATATACATCTAATAAACAAATACATACATGTATGCTTGATTGTTTTCTAATTTGCATAACTAAGATTTTTAATCTTACATTTTATTTTACAATACACTATTAAGTAGCTTACAGAAAATATTCTAATTCCTTTATAATTCCCACTGTACTGTTTTCTTTTCTTTCTTTTTTGTTTTTTGTTTTCTGAGTTGGCGTCTCACTCTGTTGCCCAGACTGGAGTGCAGTGGCCGCTCCCGGCCACCGCAGCCTCGACCTCCTGGGCTCCAGCGATCCTTCTGCCTCAGCCTTCCAAGTAGCTGGAACTACAGGCGCGCGCTACCACGCCTGGCTAATTTTTGATTTATTGTAGAGATGAGGGCTCGCCAAGTTGCCCAGGCGGGTCTCAAACCCTTGGGCTCAGGCAATCCACTCACCTCAGCCTCCCAAGGTAGGGGATTACAGGCTGAGCCACCGAGCCCAGCTTGTACTGTTTTCTACACACAAAACATACTCAGTAAATGCTTACTGAATAAATAAATGGCTAAGAGAGGCACTGAGCATTTCAATTACTTTAAAAATTAAAAACATATTACATAAATGTTACACATTAATATTTTATGATATAGTCAAGGAAAACAGTGTTTTGACTTCCATCATCTAACAACTTTGATTGTTATCTCTTCACAGCTGTTTGTTTCATTTATCCATCTTTTTCTTCTCTCATGGGTTCTCAGTTTAAAATAACAACAGTACATCAAAAGATTGAAAATTAATTACACAAGGGGTATAATGCTAATAAAGTTTCTAAGAGTCAATAAATCCTACTAAGTAAAAAGTTGGACTGGGCTTGGTGACTCATGCCTATAATCCCAACCCTTTGGGAGGTGGAGGTAAGAGGATTGCTTGAGGGCAGGAGTTCAAGACCAGCCTGATCACCATAGCAAAGCTTTATCTTATAAAACATAATAAATAAATAAATAAATAAATAAAGGTCACAGAACTTATGGCTAAAGGGTGCTATTAACTAACTAGTAAGTACTGTTCAAATCAGCATAAAATACTATGGTATCTAATATAAACTACTGTAAAGATTGGTAGTTATGTAATTTAAACTAACTCTTCCTTATTTTTCAATTCTTATCTAAATAACACTATAAAAATTAAATTAAAAATTTAGCTGCATGTAATTGGCTTTTTGTTTATATTAAGTATAGCTTTTTTATTGTAGTTACATTTTAATTTGGGAGATAATTTCATGGAGGAGACTTTTTCTTGATATTTGAGCCAATAAACATTTTACAGTCTGACAAGAATCCTTTTTTTTTGTTTTATGGCTAGCTTAGATAATTAGTGCTTTATTGTTTTAAGAAGTCATTAAGATTTCTTAATTTCATTTAAGATTCATTAAGAATTAATAATAATGAATTTACAGTACTGATGTCCTTTCTAACTTATAATAATATGATTTCTTAAAAAAAAAAAAACTACATTTCTTTTCTTAAGCTATGCTCCCTTCTCTAATGTGTTTTCTGAAAGGTGCATTTAATATACCTCGTCAGTATTTCACTAAAGGACATGGTAACCTAATCTTGATTTATAAAATAATTTTCATTATTTGATTTCAACAATTCACTAATTATTATAGCTTCATAAGTAATGTTATAATAATGCATCTTTTAAAATTTCAACCCTTTGTTCAGTGAAAATTCCAATAAAAGTCATAATCTATCAGGGATCACTGGACAACACATTAATTTTACTCTTTTATTCATCAAAGGAAAAAAGACATAATGCACCCTTCTTTAAAGTCTATTAAGTCACATTATGTGCTCCTCACTGAGAGAGAATAATTGGAAAAAAAAAACAGGAAAGAGAAATTAAAAGTGCATTTACCTGTATTAGAGATGTCTGTAGAACTGTTTACTGAAGAAGTAATTGGAATCTGTCCTGTTTTGTTGTATCCAGTTTTTATCTGTGAAAGAAAATGAGGAGCATGCCATGCCATTTTCTTAAGTAGGTCAAAGACCAGAATGGAAGTTCATGTTAACATACAAAAGAATGGTTAAAGAGATTAAAGCGATATTCCAAAAATATGAAACTTCTAAAATCTTGGTATATTCATCTTCAAACAAAGCAATTCAGAATTAAAGGTAACAATTGCTTTCAGCTCCACCATGTCCAAGAATAACAAAATATAAGGTTGCACATCTTGTCTTTTAAAAGGCATTAAACCTCAAAATGACAAAGTATAAGGGACTGACAGAAAAATCTCATACTTCATCTCTGATCAGCAGATATCTGAAAATGAAGTTACCTATTGACTAAAATGTTACCTATTGACTAAAAGCTCACTTGAGTTTTCTATTTTATTGTATAGCTAACAGATTAAAGTATTTTCTTTTTTTTGAGTTGGGGTCTCACTCTGTTGCCTAGACTGGAGTGCAGTGGCATACTCCTGGCCACCGTAGCCTCGACTGCTGGGCTCTGGTGATCCTTCCACCTCAGCCTTCCAAGTAGCCGAAACTATAGGCACACGCTACCACGCCTGGCTAATTTTTGACATTGTAGAGATGAGGTCTCGCCAAGTTGTCTGGGTGGGTCTTAAACCTGTGGACTCAGGCAATCCACTAGCCTGGGCCTCCCAAAGTGCTGGGATTATCCCAAAGTGCTGGGATATAGCCACCGAGCCCAGCTATATATCCTATGTGAACTGTGATTTGTGAAGTGTTAGGACACTGTAGGAGTTAGTAATTGATTGTATTACTTTTTTTTTTTTTTAAGTTAGAGTATCACTCTGTTGCCCAGGCTGGAGTGCAGTGGCATGCTCACGGCCACTGCAGCCCCAACGTGTTGGACTCAGGAGATTCTTCCACTTCAGTGATTATAGTAATTTTGATATAGAAAATCCCCATCTTGAATGATTCTAATAAGGTGAATTTTATATCTATATATAATTTTTTTTAAATAAACACCCCATTCTGTTGCCCAGGCTGGAGTACAATGGTATGATCATAGCTCACTACAGCCTTGAACTCCTGGGCTCAGTGATCTTCCTTCTCAGCCTCCTAAGTAGCTTGGATTACAGGCTCAAGCTACAACACCCAGCTAATGTTTTAATTTTTTGTAGAGACAGGTCTCAGTAGGTTGCCCAGGCTGGTTTCTAACTCCTGGCTTCAATTTGCCCAAATTGCAGGTGTGAGCCCCCACACCTGGCCAGGATGAACTATATTCTAGCAAACACATGCAAGGGATCAATATCCACCTACACTGAATGATTGGGACTGGCCTCACTGTGTAAGAGAGAAGTTAAAAAAAAACAAAAGGAAGAATGCCTGACTTCAGTCAAATAGAGAATAGGAATGGTAAATAAATGAACCATTTTGAGACTGTCTGAAACTAAATATGACATTTCTAACATAATTTTGAGTAATATCTAGGCATATCTTTATGGGACCATTTTGCCATGCTGGTATTTTGTAACTGATCATGCTTCCAGACACAAAAACATTGACTTAGATCTTATATTTATTGACAACACAGCATAAAAATCTTAAACCAAAAAAAGAAAAAAAATATTTCAAATAAATACTAATTTGTTAACAAACAGTTGTGCTGAAAATACAATTCAATATGTGTTGAATCAACATAAAAACAGAATATTTATAGACTGCATATATATACAGAGAAATTTAAGATTACCTGACTTATCTCAAAAGAAGGTAAAATGGCATTGTTAGTTTTGGGAGTGGATGAAGTCTTTGGAATTAGTATTTCAGAGGGAGAAGAAACAAGACTAAGTGTTGAGGCTTGAGGTCCATATTCTGAAGCTTCTACAAGAGATGTACACGATAGGTTTTCTGGATGACTGCCATCACATTTTTGTCTTATGAATCCTATCTCCCAAGCCGATTCTGACCTAGTATTGAAAAGAAATCACTTTATGGATATACTCTGAATATAGTACAACTGAATTCTAAGATAATGTTTCAAATATCATTAACAATATTTCTTACAGTCTAAAGTACTTAAGACACTTTAAATTACAAATTTCATGGAGATATGCTAAATGACACATTCTATTTAATACATAGCATAGTTACCTCAACTTGGCTCTGGTAATTATGCTTTTTGCTTCTTCAAATGAAACACCAATCATGGATTCCTTGTTCACTGACACAAGTTGATCTCCTGGCTTTAAACGACCATCCTAACAGAAACAGTAACATTTATAAAGAAACTAATTAAATTTTTAAAAAATCAATTGATGCAATTAAAGCAATCAAAAGTTGTTATGAAGAATGTCTTCTAAAAAAGAGTAGAAAAAAAATCTCGGAGAACAGCAACAGCAAAATGTTTTGATTAAAACCTGGTTTGGCAATATACATAAGTAAAATGTTTTATGTATTCATGAATAAATTTACATGCTAAGGAATCCTGAATATATTAAGACATAGGCTGGTACACAAGGAAAAGACATGTATTTCAAAAGCTCAGTACTATAGGACTGACAAAGCTGACTCTGTGATAGAGTAGGCCAAAGAATTATGGGATATTTCAGAATGTAAGACTCACTATAGCGTCTGTCCATTCCACACCATTTCTCCCACCAAACTGTTCAATGTGGATTTATCTGGCATTTAAATTTTTAAAAATTTAGTCGATGATCTTAATTATGTTGATTTTAACTCATATGTCAGCTCATGATCAAACATTTTCACTGGATCTTTATTAGATCCCTCCCATGACTAAGGCCCAGTTGGCTGTGCATTTGGTGTTAGCCATGTCCTGCTAATAATGACCAATTCTAACGAATGCCTAGAGTTGTCCTTGCTAAGCCCTAGGTCGGCTTATAACTAGCCTAACTGAATAGGACAAAGCATATCAGGTACAAGATTTAATGTAGTTTTTAGGCAAGTTTTCAGTTTTTATTTGTTTTTTTCTCAGAATTCATTCAAACTTGAAAAGAAGAGTAAGCTTTCTTCTTTTACAGTTACTAAGATACTTCCCTAATATTAGTACAAAGGCAGAAAACATTATTTCTATAACTACAGAAAAGCTTATATGGTTAAAGGTAGATTTTTCACCTTGCTAGTATTTAAGTAACTTCTACAAATTCAAGGAAACATCTTTCTTTAAAGTCTTACCTACTAAAATATATACCTTATATAACTGATGTTAGATCTAAACTGCATTATTTATCATAGAGGTGATTTATGATTAGTTTCTTCATAAATAACAGTAGTTATTATGGTTTTTGAAAAATACATGTAGTGCTAGCTCTTCCATTGATTAAAGAATACATAGGAAAACAACTAAATAAATATAAAACATTCATCAAAGGATTTTATAGGAGCATATTTCAAGTACTGTGTAAAAGACTATAATCTAAATACATAATGATCCTATGATCCTTCTGAAACGTAAACATTTTTAAAAAAAACTTAAACCAAAAGAGGTAATTTAATTTTAAATATATACAATTTGAAAACAAATTTGGATTTTATATAAATACATCATTATATCTAGCATTTTAACACACAGCAGCTATATTCATAAGTGATTTTTTCCCCTTACATTTGATAAATTTATGGGGGAAATACAAAATAGTGATGCTAGAAAAGAAGAAGCAACCAAGAAAGTATGAATCCTACAAGTGCAATAAAACAAAAGAGCTGATTTTGTAAGGTTTTGTAAACATAGTTCTGTATTGCCTGGATCAAAATCTTATTAGAGTTTCATTACATATGCATTTAAATCAACAATATCCAGACTATACCCAAATATTTATGTACTTTTAGTTTGTAATTTAATATGTTGAATTTTTTAGGACAGTCATTCACTTAAGGTTGAGGTAAAATAGTAACAAATAAGGAAAACAACCTCTTTCCCACAGGAGAAAAGATAAAGCTAATAAAAGCTAAGGAAAAATAAACACAAAATACTGCAGAGGGCTTATTTCTGGGGGAGGAAAAAGGGAAGAGGGATGCACCAGGGAAAAACACCTAGGAAGCCTCAACGGTACTTAAATTTTCTATTTCTCAAATCACTCTAAGTGGAGTCACAGGTGTTAATTACATTTCATAAGTTGGATATGTGTTTCAGTATCCTTTTGTATGGGCCAAATATTATATTATAAAAAAAAATACTCCAATCATCAAATACAAAGAAAGTTCATACTGTTTGCCCCAACTATGTACTAACTAGTTGAATTACGGTTAGGTTCTATATTCCAGAACTGGTATTGGAAGAAAGGGCCAAACAGATAGTTTCTTAATCTAATTTTTAAAATAAATAAATGTCTGTCACTGTTAAATCCAGCTCTAAACCATTTAGAATCTGCAAAACAATTCCTTATTAAAATGAGTTTAATAAAGTAGATTTTAAATGAAACTTGTACCCCAAAGACTGACAACAATTGCTGGGGGGGGGGTGAGTAGATAAAGCCCTGCATCATTTGAGCAAAGTATTCAAAGGACACTGACAAGGAAAGAAAGTTTATTTCAGAATTGTGGTGGTGGACAGTAAATATTAGGTTATTTTGTTTTAAAGTAAATGTTCCCGGATTAACAGTTCCTTCCTTTTACTAAGTTTCCTTGAAAAGGGAAAATTCTACACTCATGTCCAAAAGTCAGATAGCAGCCATCTTTCATGTGGGCAGGAGCCATCAAAAGCATGGCCTGAAGAGGAATGAGCATGAGGTCTGGTAATCTAATGAACTAGAATTTGAATTTTGACCTCTGCAGCTTCTAGCTAGACCTTTATAAACAATGATACAGAGAAAAAGAGATGGGAGAGGTGCACACTCTTGTCCACAAGAAAGTCAGAACTACATTCTAAATTGTGACAGGAGCTCCTGTATCTATGTATCTTAAAAAAAAAAACCACAGTTGGCTATCAAGCTCGTGGAGAGAAAGCTACAGAAAACAAGAGGTAGGCAATACAGTTAGACTCGCCTGTTACCCCCACATTCCCCCTTCAGGCTGTTCAGTATCAACAGTACAAAGGAAAAGCTCGCAGGAAGGTAATTTAACCTATTCTGTATTAAAGTACACTGATGTACCGAAGTGGTATTTTCTAGCAGGACGAGAATCAGAGAAGAAAAAAGGAATGTCTTCTGACTATGATGACTTCTGGTGTTTATATTTTTTTCTTTCTTAAAGTATTCACAGCCGTAAGTATTGCTTTTTTTTTCCCTCTATGCCTCCTAGAATAAGATCTTAGCTGATCATGTGAATTTCTGAACCTGTTAAAAATCAGAACCTGTAAATGAAAACAAAGCTGTTTCCGTAAACATCTGACATTCTAAACAAGTAAATTCTGCCCCTGTTGGATTAATGTGTATGTGCCGATACTAACTTCAGGGATATGTTGAGACCTTTTCTGTACAATCTCGATTCCAAATGGATGGACTAGAGCAACTGAGCAACTACGTGACATAGCAGGCAATGTGCTACGCATTTTCATATGTTGAACTTCAGAGTCTGAATTCTTTCACACTGACATTCATATAGATTTGAAATAATAATGTATTCCTGACCACTTAAACACTTCTGGTAAAAAAACTTCCAGCACTGGTCATTCCTGTTTATGACTTTATAGTTTTCTAAATAACAAATTGCCATATTATCAGAAACCATCTATACAGTCTGATTCTGATTTAATGAACTCATTATGCCTAAATACTAAGGAATGCTCCTTCTGCAAGCCTTCAGATTTCTTTTTCATGCTTTTACACAAGCTGTAAATTGAAGGCATCCTTCCTTTAATTCCAGTTATTGTGAAATTAGTCATTTAACTTTCTTAGCTGCAGAGTGGGGATAAATATCTATAACACAAAGCTGCTGTAAGAATCAAATGATATGTAAATGACAGCACATCATAGGTGTTAAGTAAGATGAGGTGAATCAGACTTTCATATCTGTTGTGGACAATTTTTACACTGGGAGCAAATGAAATTATGTTACTCCTCACATTGAGAACCTTTGATGGCTTCCCACTGGTAGGAAAAAGTTGAAACTCTTTAGGCTTCCAAACCTTGCACAACAAACTCTCTGCAACCTACTTTTTCTAGCCTTACCATCTATCTTCCACTCTAGCATATAATTCTTCATTCAGTTTTCCAAGAATGTTTCTCAAACCAATCATGGTCTTTCGAACCTCAATGCTTTTGCACATACCAATTTCTATCTAGAATTCTACCATCCACCCTCCTGCTTCTCTATGTGATGAACCTGACTAAACTTCACAGCTACCATTCACCCCAAACACGATCACTCCTTCATGTTTTCTCCAACTCCCACGAGTTACTTAATTGTTCTTGTTTTTTTGCTCAAAAAGCACTTTACTTACCTATATGATTGCACTTACTCTGTACTATCCTTATTTATATATCATCCCCTTCCCACCCCACATTATAACATCTTCATTCAGCCAGTCCCACACTAGAAGCACTGATTCTTTCCATTGGCCAGAACCATGTCCTTTTTTAGATTGTTTCCTTAGGAAAATGCTGGGGGGACAGTAAGTCCACGATACATAAATGGGGTCCAGTGAACAGTCTGAGGAAATTAAATGAACTATAATAGAAATAATAATGGTAAAGAAGTAAAGACAGTAACACTGTAAAGTGAGCCATCTTGGCTACTACTCCTTCAGCTCTCACCAGTGGGATTGGTTTCTTCACACTTTGTCATCCAGAGGCCCGATCTTGCTATTTATCTAAAAGCCAGGTCCCTCTGAAAGTTAAATATGCCCTACTTCAATTCTTTGTGAACAATGACTAACCACTAGCATCTATATCTGTGAAACCTTTGTCTCTACCTATAGGGCTTGAGTTTTTTAAAAAAAGTTCAGCCGGGCATGGTGGCTCATGCCTGCAATTCCAGCACTTTGGGAGGCTGAGGCGAGAGGACTGCATGAGTCCAGAGGTTCGAGACTAGCCTGGACAACTTGGCAAGACTTTGTCTCTAAAATAAATACAAAAATTAGCTGGGCGTGGTGGTGTGCACCTGAAGTTCCAGCTACTTGGAAGGCTGAGGTGGAAGGATCAGCTGAGCCCAGCAGGTTGAGGCTGTGGTAGCCATGAGTATGCCACTGCACTCCAGCCTGGGCAACAGAGTGAGACTCTGACTCAAAAATAGAAAAGGAAACATACTATCTTGAGGTTCAGGCAAAGTTGATGAAACAATCGTATCAGTGGATCATTACAAACTAAGATAGGTGATATAAAGGAAGGGAACAGAATCTAGGAGCATATGGAGAAAAAAATAAAACCTAGTCTACACTAGGGAGAGCATGGAATACATCCCTTAAAAAGTGGTCTTTAAATTGATATCTGGAAATAATAAGGCAATGGCAGGTGTTTCCCAGTCTGATGAAACAGCATATGACATGAGAAAGTAATCAGTCTCTTCCAGGAACTGAGAGAATGCCACTCTGCAAGCATACAGATAGAGAGCTGAAGAAGCAGAGGACAGATGCCACACCATAATGAGTCTTGTAGGCAACCCAGTATTAGTAAGATAGGTTGAGAGGGAAGTAGGCATGATACACAAGAGCAGACAAACATACTGAGAGGGATGATAAAAACTGATGATAGTTTAAGTTCTAGTGATGAGAATGGAGATCGATCAAGAAGACTAATGGGGCTCAAGAGATATTTAAGAGTAAAAATGTCAACAGTATGTATTAATAGACTGAATACTGTTGTTATGGGAGAGAAAGCAGTTAGGAAGCGGTTAGGTTTTCTGACTTTGTGTAGCTACATGTTGTTATTCACCAAGACTAGGTATAATGGAAGAGACCTTGTTTGGGAAGAAATGGGCAGATGAGGGTGTGGTGTGAATGCCACGAGTTCCGATTCTGAAATGTTGAGTCTGAGATGCCTTTACAAGACACAAGTGGATTTTTTTAAAAAAATTTATTTTTGTAGAAATGAGCTCTCATTATATTGTCCAGTCTAGTCTCAAACTCTTGGTCTCAAATGATCCTCCTGCTTCAGTCTCCCAGGGTGCTGGGATTTCAGATGTGAGCCACTGCACCTGGTCCCAAGTGGAAATGTTGATTAGGGCATTGAATATGTGGGATGAAGCTCAAAGGAGTACTTAGGTCAGAGAAAGGTTTAGGATTAAACTTTGAGGTTCCAGACTGAGATGGGACTGGCTGAGAGGGTGAAAAGGGCCTTAGAGTTCTCTTATTTCCTTAACTCAAAACCTAACATATTTTTTTCTCAAATTTATAGGCTGCCTCCAGTTCTGAGCTGGGAGAATCTTCTTTCCTACTTTAACTAAAAAAAAGTTTTCATAATATCCCAAGTTTGAACTGTGAACGTGTTTTTCAAAGAAACATAATATTTTGGTTCTACTCAACCAGTAATGTACTCTCATATTTGCCAGGAGGAAAACATTTGGGGTGGGTGGTGGCTAACCACGGCTAATTAAAGAAAATTCCTTTTGAGTTCCAATAATGTCCTTACAGTTTGAGAGGTTTGGAAACATACATGAAACATAATCTAGCTATAAGCTTGAGATGGCCTATGTTGTTAATTCTGAAACATTATAATGTTAAAACAAAATTACAGAATTACAGCAAGTTAAAACACTCATATGCATAAAAACTATTAACAGTTACTCAGTTCAGCAACTTAATTAAGGATAACTTAAGTTTCCTATTCTATAAATATACCTACTATGTCGAGATTGTATGTGGATTAGAAATTTATTAATATGCTAAAACAGTATTTAGAGCACAGTAAATATAAATTGTTTTGAAATAAAATTATATCAATTTTTTATTGCAGAATAAATATCCATATAGTTCATCACATTGATAAAATATTCAAAAACAAATGTAAGCACTGGAAAATTACTTATTCTACATCTTTCTCTGTTTTGGCTTTCTTTGGTCAAAGATTAATAACTCTATGCTGCTCTCTAGTGGTAAGCAGAGAATATAGTCCATTTAGATGGTTTTGCTTTTTAATACTCTTCAATGAAATTCTAAGAAAACCAACAAGAAAAAAATATGTATCTTGAGTAAAATTTCCTTAGTCTGCTATCACTGAAAGAATATACAGATAATTCGGCAACAGTGCTATCAATTTATTACTGAAACTGAAAATATTTTTCTTGGTAATAAAAAAAGTACAAATTGATGCTTGTCTAAAAAGCAAATTCTTATCACTTGTTAGGCACCTTGATCTATCACTGCATTATATCAAGTGTAGGCTAAAGATATACCTTAGCAGTACTAAGTGCATGCACACACACACACACAGCTTTCAGCTTTAAAACTAAGCAGTACTAAACATTTCAATTCTTAAAAGAACAATTTCATTTTTTTTGTTTGTTTCAATTTGTTTAAATTTACCATTTAAATATGTTCTTTAGTTAATAATTCAAATTTAATGTCAAAAATTCATATCCTTATAACATCTTTGTTTTGTTTTTGAGTTAGAGTCTTACTCTATCACCCAGGCTGGAGTGCAGTGGCATGCTCACGGCCACCACAGCCTCGATCTGCTGGGTTCAGGTGATCCTTCAGCCTCAGCCTTTCAAGTAGCTGGAACCACAGGTGTGCGCCATCATGTCCGGCTAATTTTTTGTTTATTGTAGAGACTAGGTCTCACTATGTTTCCTAGGCTGGTTTCTAACCCGAGCTCAGGAAATCCTCTTGCCTTGGCCTTCCAAAGTGCTGGGATTACAGGCGTGAGCCACTGCACCTGGCTCATTATAATATCTGAAAATTATTATATTATACTTAGAATGTAGAAGATGTCTTTTATTTATTTATTTATTTTTGAGTTGGAGTCTCACTCCCAGGCTGGAGTGCAGTGGTATGCTCACAGCCACCCCAGTGTCAACCTGTTGGGCTCAAGCTATCCTTCTGCCTCAGTGTTGCAAGTAGCCATAAGGAACTACAGGTGCAGGCTACCATATCCAGCCAATTTTATTTTATTTTATTTTATTTATTGTTGAGACGTGGTTTCATCAAGTTTCCCAGGCTGGTCTTGAACCTATGGGCTCAGGCAATCCTCTCGCCTCGGCCTTCCAAAGTGCTGGGATTACAAGCTTGACACTGGTGCCCAGCTAATGTCTTATTTTTTGAACAAGCCTGAAACAACTGAAATCATTACAACTATTTTGGAAGTTATTAGTGAAATTGGATTTTCCCCTACAAGTCAAAAAAATCCAATTGCATAGATAATTTATTGCTTGCTAAACAGTATTTGTAATGAGGAGGAGTAAGAATTAGGAGTAAAATTAGCAGGACTATTTATTTAAGCAAAAACAAAAGAACAAACTTAATGATAAGTGGATCCTTTTTCACGCTACACAGCTTGATAATAATAGAATAATTTATTAAATTCTTTATATCCCAAATCTCTCCAAAAATAAATGAAGGCAACATTCAACAAATGACATGAAATCACATTAGTAAAACAGAAGCAGCAAATAAAATTCAAGAGAAATGAGAATTCATATAAAATAACCAGGTCATTAAATTGCTGGGATTGTGCTTCAGATTTGGGACTGAGCTTTCTAGCAATCAGAGCAAAAAGGAATGTGTTACATATTTCTTACATTGAAGAGGAGACTAAGATTTTGTCAATCCTTCAAAAAAAGAAGACATTTTCTGTTCTCAAGTCTAAATCTAATTTCCCATGTAGATTCTAAATCTAGTTTCTCATATAAGCAGCTAATGAGTGATATAACTAACAAACAAGGATTAATTCAAATCAGAAATGAGTAGATTTTGGTTGCTGTTTTTGTTTTGATTTGCATTTAGGAGAGGCCAAATGAATGTGGTTCAACTGATCCAACATAATCAAAACTCAGACTACTGGATAGGTAACATGTCTTCAAATACAATTGTTCTCAATCATATGTAGGATAAAACTTGAACAGCATATAATTTTAAATGTATATATGACCTTTAGTTAGTGTCTGAAATGTCTGTTATTTTCATATAGGAAGAACATATTCATCTGTTAGGTTAAACTTCCTTGAGGATAAAGATTTCCTAATTCCTCTGTATCTTTCAGAGGTATAGTCATAGTGGGCATTCAGTTAATACCAAAAAGTCACTGATAAAGTAGGAAAACAAACTTCACCATTGGGATGGTTTTTTATTTTTGTTTTTTGATGGCAGGCAGAAGGAGGGTATTTTTACTTTCATTTTTACCTTATAACAGTCTCCTCCAGGAATGATTTCCTGAACATATACCAATGGGCCTTCATTCCGGTTAATTCCGCCGAGGATCTTCAGACCAAGGCCTGTTTCCTTGGTAACTGTAATCATCTGAAAGGCAGGATCCCTAAGATAAAGTAAATTAGCACTTACAGGTTAGGCTAGAGCTCTGTACCTATTTTTTTTCTTTAAACTACCTGTTAAATTCTTAGATCTAGACAACCCCAAATAACTTAGTACTTACTAGCAAAATATTGTATAAAGTATGGTGACATAAAAACAATAAAATAGATTTTCTTACATATGTATGTATATACGTGTGTGTGTGTGTGTGTGTGTGTATTTTTTTTTTTTTTGAGTTGGCATCTCACTCACTCTGTCACCCAGGCTGGAGTACAGTGGCATGCTCATGGCCACTGCAGCCTCGACCTATTGGGTTCAGGCCATCCTTCCACCTCACCCTTCTAAGTAGCTGGAACTACAGGCATACACTACCACACCCAGCTAAGTTTTTGATTTATTATAGGAAGGAGGCCTCGTCAAGTTGCCCAGGCTGGTCTCGAACCCCTGGGCTCAGGTAATCCTCTCACCTTGGCCTCATAAAGTGCTGGGATTATAGACTTGAGCCACGGCACCAGGTCTTTTCCCCCCCGCACCCTTTTTTTAGAGACAACGCCCTGCTTTGTTGCCCAGGCTGGATAGAGTACAGCGGCAAGATCGTAGCTTACATAGCCAGTAACCTCATTCTCCTGGTCTCAAGTGATCTTCCCACCTCGGTCTCCTAAGCTTACCTATATTTTTAATTTTCTCTACAAAACAAACAAAATATAAAAGAATTTACAGAAATAATGCTTACTTCTTTGGAGTAGAACAACAACAACAACAAAATACTTTAAAAGTATTATTTAAGTAAATAAAAAAATTTATTAACAGTGACAGAAAAGATTTGTGTTTAACTGATTATTAGACTACATTGAAGGATTCCAAAACCAAACATTTTAATCAATTAGGCAAGTAACTTTAAAAGACATGTTTGTGGCCATTTAAAGCAATAATATTATCTCCATTTAAATCTAAAAAAAATTTCTTTAATTTAGAAAAAGTATTTTTTCTGGTACAAAATACTTGTTTCAGTTGGAATTTCTGCCAAACATAAAAGCAATGCCATTAGAAAAGAAGGAACTATCAAAAGAATTCTGCAAACAGTATATCCCAAGTTGTGTTCCTGAACATCCTGGTCAGAACAGAGCCTTTTTTGTTGTTGTTGAGTCATTCTCACTATTTCTTCCAGACTGGAGTGCAGTGGCACACTCACGGCCACCGCAGCCTCAACCCGCTGGACTCAGGAGATCCTTCCACCTCAGCCTTCCAAGTAGCTGGAACTACAGGTGCGTGCCACCACGCCTGGCTAATTTTTGATTTAATGTAGAGACAAGATCTTGCCTAGTTGCCCAGGCTGGTCTTGAACCCGTGGGCTTAGGCAATCCTCTCACCTCTGCCTCCAAAGTGCTGGGATTAAAGGCATGAACCACCGCATCTGGTAGAGAAAAGACTTCTACTGGTCAAATAAAACTTGAATAAAGTTGGAACTAAGACTTAGGACTGCCTGTTTTCTTATTATGTACTTGATATTGTTCTAAGAAATATACAAACATTAAACCATTTAATATTTAAAAAATTCTTAAGATTCTTACCCTCATTTTTTTAAAAGACCCTAAATTCATGTAGGTTAACTTGATGGCCCAAATTGTGGGCCCAGCCTGTCTTACTTCAAAGGCAAAATATGGTATAAGATCTGCTTCATTGTTGTATTAAAATCATTGTTGACTTCTAGCTATCTTCAAACATATCAAATATCTAATATTACTATTAAAATCACTTTATATTTTACATATGATTATAGCTTTTCAAAAGGCTTTCTTAGCTTTGTCTATAAGAATTCTAAGTGTATCTTTAAGAAAATTGTTGCATTCAGAAGTTGGACAGGCGCTGTGGCTCACACTTATAATCCCAGCACTTTGGGAGGCCAAGACAGGAGGATTGCCTGAATCTAGGAGTTTGAGACCAGGCTGGAAGACAGAGTGAGACCCTGACTCAAAAGTTAAATAAAAAGAAAAGAATGAAAAAGAAAAACTTACAAAATTCCCTGTATTTGAATATTTTGCTCTGTATATAACACATCATTTAGCACTGCATTACAGGTATATTGAATTTAGCTTTAATGTTGGAAAGCCTATTTAGTTACTGGGGCAGTACAATTAGCTAGAAACAAAGGCAGAGAGGACTAGGTCCAAAATGTTCTACTCACATGAATTTCAGCACCCCAAACCCACTCTTTATGGGATATTAGGTTGCAAAAGCAAAAAGAAGTGAAGCCTAGAAATGTGAGATAAAGGAGAGAAAGGAACTAAGGTACCTCAATAGTAAATCTCTCCAGTAACCTCTTAAACTCTCTAAATGTGAATTTCCTTCAATAAGGGCATACACAATCACCAGCATACATTTTTTTTCAGTAAAGCATCCCTCTTTTCTAATTCCAACAAGGTGTATGTTATTAACACAGCGATGTATTTATTTGCAATCTTTTTTCTTTATATTTTCTATTTTTTTCTGAATCAATACTGCAGTATATAAAAAGTTTTAGATTCTGCTTTTTAAAAACTAGAATCATAATAAGCAATCTCCATGTTATTAAATGTTCTTCTTAAACATAAATTTCAAGGGAAGAATAAAATACACATGGTTGGTACCTTATTTTAAAATTATCCCATTGTTAAGAATTGAGATTACTTTTTTTTTTTTTTCTGAGTCAGAGTCTCACTCTGTCATCTAGGCTGGAGTACAGTGGCATGATCACGGCCACCACAGCCTTGACCTGCTGGGCTCAGGAGATCCTTAAGGCTCAGTCTTCCAAGTAGCTGGAACCATAGGCATGCACCACCTTGCTCAGCAAATTTTTTTTTTTTTTTTTTGTAATTGCAGAGATGAGGTCTCACCATGTTGCTCAGGCTGATCTGGAAACCCTGAGCTCAGGCAATCCTCTTGCCTCTGCCTCTCAAAGTGCTGAGATTATAGGCTTGAGCCACCATGCTCGGCTAAGAGATTACTTTTAAAAAAATTAAAATAGTTCTTCAACTTAATTGAAATAAGAGAATTACAAGCTAAAACTATACAGAGTTACTACTATTCACCAATCAGATCAATATAAATGTTAAACATTGAAAACATACTCTTTGGAAAAAGAGGCACTTTTAAACATTGCTGGTGAGAATGAAAAATAGTATAACTTCTGAAGAGAAAATTGGATATTCTCTAACAAAAAAACTATACTCTGATCCAGCAATTCCAGTTCTAAAAATATATGCCAAAGATCCTCTAGCAAAAAATACAAAATGACATATACTAGGTTATTAATTTCGGCATAATTTGTAGTCACCAAAAATTGCAAACAATCCAAGTGTCTGCCAATAAGGTTCTGACTGAATAAACTACGGTACATTCACAGGACAGAATACTATGCAGTTATAACAAGGAATAAGGATATCTTTATAAACTGATATGAAGTAATTACCAGGTTATAATTTTAAGACAAAAAGTTAAGATCAAAACATTATATGTAATATAATACTTTCTACTCAAGAGTATTCTGGGGAGTGGAATACAAACATATATTATTATGTGTTCACATACTATGTGTATGTATATTTAAGTATATGCATGTGCTTATACAAAAAGAAGCACTAAAAAAGAGCCAAGAATAAAAATAATTTCCTATAGGAGGAATGAGGGTACAGAGTGAAGGATAAGAATTTAAGAACAAGATTTCTTTGAATATATCTTGTCAAATATACATGTTTACAAAATGGTCAATTCCTCCCATCCCCGTCTGCCATGTGCCTTGGCCATGTGATTTTACTCCTCCCTCTCATTAACAGTAAAGTTTGTATCGCCACTCCTTGAATTCAGACTTGGCTATTTAAATTGCTTCTGCCGACGGGAGACCAGAAAATGTGAGGAAAGCAGGCATTTGAAAAATACTTCTGGTTTGTTGTGGGGAACCATTCTGCCATCATGTGAAAACTCTGAGTTATAGCCTTCTGAAGGATGAGAGACCAAGTCTAAAGAGACCTCAGCCATGCAGCCTTCCTGGCTGAGGCCTCAGAACATGGGAATGAGACCATTCTACATCATCTGGTGCAGACCAAACCACTGCTCAGCCAACCTACAGAATCATGAGAATAAGAAATGCTTACAGCCGGGCTCAGTGGCTCAGCCTGTAATCCTGCGCCTTTGGGAGGCTGAGGTGAGTGGATTGCCTGAGCCCGCGGGTTCGAAACCCGCCTGAGCAAGGGAGACCTCATCTCTACAATAAAATCAAAAAAATTAGCCGGGCATAGTAGCACACGCCTGTAATTCCGGCTACTCAGAAGGCTGAGGTGGAAGGATCGCCGGAGCCCAGTAGGTCGGAGCTGCGGTGGCCGGGAGTGGCCACTGCACTCCAGTCTGGGCGACAGAGTAAGACTCCAACTCAAAAACAAAAACAAAAACAATTAATGTCTTAAAATTAAAAAAAAATTTGGAGTCAGAGTCTCACTCTGTTGTCCAGGTTGGAGTGCAGTGTTGTGCTCACGGCTACCGCAGCCTCTGCCTGCTGGGATCAGGCGATCCTTCTGCTTCAGCCTTCCAAGTAGCTGGAACTACAGGCATGCCCCAGCACGCCCAGTTAATATTTTTCTAATTGTAGAAACGATTAGACCTGCCAAGTTGCCCAGGCTTGTCTTGAACCCCTGGACTCAGGTAATCCTCTCATCTCTGTCTCCCAAAGTACTGGCATTACAGGCCAGAAAATGAGCCACCATGCCCAGCTAAAGTTTTTTTAAAAAGAAATCTCTACAAATGATTTTAAAGAATGTTGATTTTGTCCCAGACATTGATTTACACTGAAAGATAATCTGATTTGCACTGAAAGGTAATTCAAGTATTACTTTACTCATTACTTATTACTGCTATCCTAGACCGCATTAAACAGCCTGCTATAAAAATTTTCAACCAAGTGTTCATTAATAGTCTACATATTTTAAACTACGCTATTTCAAAACATATTAAATTTAAAAATTACTTTGCAAGTAGACTGGATGATAATACAGCAGATGAATTTGTATTCATTCTTTTACCACAGTAGCCTTGGGTTTAACAGCTGTATAAAATGAAGATATCTTGATGAAGAGTCTAGAAATTCTTCTTTTCCTAAGACTGGAGAAGTAGAAAATAAATTGTCAGGTCTTAACAACAGTCAAATTTGATTCCAACTTTGCATAAAAACATTATATACACTTAGCACATAAATAATATATGACTATGTCTAGATGTTATATGTATTTTATGTATTTTGGGCTATGGCATTTTAGTCATTGATGATAACATCTGAGAAGTGTAAAGACAGTTCTTTAGATAGATAGACAGGCCCATATCTATATTATTATAAATATCTATATCTACATAAAATCTTTATTCTCAGGCGAAAGTGAAGAATAAAGTTAAACTTTAGATAACTATTACAGTTTGTACCATGATAAGCTTAAAAATAACATAGAGGAAAATGTCTCTTATGAATACAAGGTTATGAAGTTTATAGTCAGAAAAATAATTATACAACACATTTGAAGAAAACAAAATTCTTATTGTCTCACTAACTATCTTGAGGGACTTCCTACAGGTGCTACATTACTGATTCATATTATTCCATAAGCTTCTTAAACATTTTTCTATGAAAAGAAAAAAAATACAATTTTAATGCCTTATATAATTCCACTGTGAAAATTATGGAGAATAATGCAGTTTCATTTAATTAAAAGAAACTGTATTTGAATGAAATACTAGCAAAGCAAAGAAGTTTAAAGTTGAAATAGATGTTAGGATCATTTAGCACAACTCTCTTGCTGAAGAAAAAAGTAGCTAGATTTAGAGATTGAGTGCTTTTTCCACACAAGTGAGAAATAGTCAGTGGTTGTTTCTCTTGCTAGAATCCTGACAGTCCTGGGTTCCAATTGGGCTTTTGGCTTCTCCAAACCTCAGTTTCCTCATAGGTGCTGTAGGTACTTTGTGGTGATGGTCTCACAAATTGATACACATGTCAAACTTACGATACTCTCACTTTAAATATCTGCTGTTTGTTGTAAATCAAATTATACTTTAATAAAGTTAATTAAAAAAAAACAAACAAACTCTGATTTTAAGTTAAAAAATCATCCTGCTGTTGGCATGTACCTCTTTCCCTCCCAAGAGCCCACTAATAAGAGAGTAATGGGTTACAAAAATCAGAATGTTATAAATTCAGAATATTGAAGAGTAAATGGGAAAAGAGACATGATGAAAAATTTCAGCAAGATTCTGGAAGACAAAAAGTAGACTGTGAAGGTAATAGCTGATAAAAGGATTGAAGCTGAAACCTAGGGAAGTGCTTCCTAAACATTTTTAAGTTTGAGCACACGCATACAAAATGGTAATATTTGTATGAAATAGTGGATTAAAAAAAAGGCGATATCCTCTGAGAAGCTGAGGAGAATCAATATCTCAGCACATGAGCAGCTAATTCATAACAAAAGTTTGGACTAAGAAACAGATGCAAGAAAAACCCATTTTGCAGAATTCCAGAGAGGTTGAGGACTCAGAAACCCAGAGTTCTGGGGAGAACAAAATTGAGGTTAATAACTAAAATCAAGGGGACCATCCTATCTTTTCTCCAACCATTGTACACAGAATAAATAGCAGATCCTTCTGTAAATAAATTGAGTGGACTCCAAACAGAGAGATAACACCTTCTGAGAACCTAACACAGTGTTGTACTCACTGGCCTGAGTGTTAAAAACACATGCATCATTCACAGTCCCTATAGTGGCAAAAGCAACAGGAACAGTCGGCACCTGCAGATCAGCAGCAGCCAGAAAAATGAAGCCACAGAGCAACAACACTGTCAGCAGCAAAAGTCCAGTGGCCATGAAGCAAGAAAGTTACTTAGTACCCCATGAGGAAAAGAGGGTTGGCTTGAAAAAGGAGCTTAAAATCTTAGGGCTTTGATTAGTAGTGACTCAGAGTCAAGTGCCACTGCAGTTGTCCACAAGATTGATATGACCATGGAAGAAACTTCAATGTTAAGTAAGTTTGTATAAGCACATTATAGTATTATTGCTTTAATAATACATGCATAGGGCAGATTTTCAAACCTCAAGAGAGGTAGTTTTGATATAACAACAATAATACTAACTACCATTAATTGGCACTATATGTCACACACTATGTGTTCCAAATGCACTTTATTTAATATCGTGGAAAAGTACTAGACCTAAGTTAAAAAAAAGAAAAAGAAAAGAAAATGAGTTCCTATGTGTTGATCATAGGGCCTTAGAAAAATTACCTAACCTCCTCATGTTAGGGTAAGAAAATAGTAGTGACACCTAGCTCAAAAGGAGATGTAAAAAGCTGAGCAGTTTTTCCACTGGTAGCAAAATGAATAAGATCCCCATCTAGTGGTAATTTGTCCAAACTGGGCAGAGGGTTCCTAGGTTCCCCTATAAGATATTCAAGTACCTGCACATGAATGTTTGTTGCAGCTCCATTCACAATAGCAAAAACATGGAACCAACCATGCTGCCCATTGAAGCCGGACTGGATAAAAAAATTGTGGTACATATACACAATGGAATATTATGCAGTCATAAAGAAGGACAAACATATGGACTTTGCAGCAACTTGAATAGATTTAGAGTCTATCATACTCAGTGGTCTATCACAGAAACAAAGAACAGAGTATCAGATATTCTCACTTATTAGCAGACCTTGAACAATCATCATAATACCATAAGAAAGGGATTGGCAGTAGTGGGAAACTTCAAGGGGGGGTGGGGTGGGATTGGTAGTTGAGGGAAACTGCCAGGGAAGGGAGGGGCACACCTCATCAACAAGGGTACCTGCAAAATGAACATTTGCATACCTAACACTGAATTGTACCCCACATCTTTAAAATAGAAAAAAAAATTTTAAAAGAAGATATTCAGGTCTAATGGATGTGTCAATGCTAAATATCTACAGTAGATTTCATATTAACAGGATATTTCTATTTTAAAGTATAAAATAAAATTTAAGTGTTTAAATTGTGGTACTCACTTAACACGTCTGGCAGTGTCCTGAGTGCTAGAGATGAGAAGAAAAGCAGAGATGGTGAAAAAAACAGAGATAAGGAAGGTATAATGTGCTCTGACAGTGGTATGCACAGGAAATTTGGAGAAAGGGTGCTTCACCCAGGACAAAGGAGTCATCATTAAACATCAAAACAGCCAAGAGCCATGTTAGCTTTTCTTCTCACAGAAGCCCCATAAGGCAGGTACTATTAACCCACTTTATATAAAGAAAAACTAAGTCACAGATAAACTATGTGATTTGTCCATTGTTGCAGGCTAGTTGTAAAGTAGAATTTGAATCTTCTCCTTCCTTGCTCCAAACTCAAGCTGTTTATACTATAATATTTTGGGAAATTAATTTTATGTGGAGAACTTCATTCACCAAAAAAGTAGGATGAGAGTACGGTAGTAATATGCTGTCTCTCGTATATGAAGATGGCACTATTGATTAAACTTTCTTACAGCAACAGAAGTGGGTTTACTATTATCCATCCAAGCAACAGAATTTATTTATTCAATGAACAAGGTATCCATTTGTCATATCCTTAAATATTATAAAATGCCTGTCCTTTCCTTCTCTTTTGCCTGTTTCCTACTGCCTTCTTCATACAAGCTTGCAAGGCCCTCAGCCAACAGGGATTCTAGCTATGTTACACACACACACACACACACACACACAAAACCTCATGTAATTAATGAATAACACAGAAGGAAAACATTCTGTTATTTTACTTAAAATATGCACATTCAAGAAAAATATATTGTTTTTCTAGTCTGGTGAATCGTGGGGAAAACAGGTCAGCAAACACAGAGAAGTAAAATACTTGGGGGGAAAAATCATGTTTTATAAGATGAATCTATTCCAGAAAACAAATTAGAGCTTTACTTTCATATATAAGTCTCTTCATTTAAAATCTCATTAAAACAGTTTTCATTCCATATAATTAGAAATCTCACTGATGAAAAAATCTGCCCATAATATAGATGGTGTTTGAATAAGGTTTAGTAATATATATTCTCAGCAACATGATATTCAACACTTTCTAAAACTAGTTATTTTTACTAGACCAAAAATAGAGACAATAACGGGAAAGAGATAAAAATATCTTCTTCCAGAAATTATAGTAAATAATGGGTAATGAAATTATCAGCCAGGAGCAGTGGCTTACACCTGTAATCCCAACTCTTCGGGAGGCCAAAGGCTGGAAGATCACTTGAGCCAGGGGTTTGAAATAAGCCTGGGCAACATAATAAGACACCTAAAAAAAGAGAAATTATCATGATGCCATAATGAAACTTATAGAAATTGCCAAATTTCCCTCAATCAGGCTTGTACTAATTTACTATCCCTTCAATAATAGCATTTGTTACTCCAAATGTTCAACATGGTGTACTACAAAACTTTTGCATTTTTGCCAGTCTTATTGATTAGAATGGTATCTTAAGGTACTCTGATCAAGGCTGAAGGTTTTGTTAATGCTTCAAGAATCATTTAATATCTCCTTTTATGTAAACTGTGTTTTCATATCTTTTGCCAATTTTTCTATTCACTGTTAGATTTTTTTTCTGTTCAGTTTCTAGAAATTCTTAAATCCTAGGAAAATTATCCCTTTGTCAGCACTAAGAATTGCACCTGCATTTCCCACTTTTTCCTCTTGGTTATAGGTTTTTTGGTTATGCAAAAAATTGTGGCTAACATTATCAATCTTTTATGATTTCTGGGTTTTAGGCCAAAGTAGAAACTCCTTGCCCATTCCAAAGTTATAAAAAATTCTCTCATTTTTTTCCTAGCACTTTTATGGTTTCAAGATTTAAAAATCTTTAATCCATTTGGAATTCATCCTAATACACAGTATAATGTTTAGATCCAATTCATATTTTTCTCTCAAGATCACCCAGTTGTCTCAACCACAAATAATCCATTTCTTCCCGACAAATTTGGTCTTTATGACCTTTATTATACACAAAATCTCATAAGCATTCTATCATTTTTACTCTAGTCCTTTGATTTCTCTGTTATTCATACACCAACGCCATTCTATTTTCATTACTAAGGCTTTATCATATATGATTTTA